GTTGGTCGATGCTCTCTGTAAAGAATAATGCTGCCACCCATAAATTGGGACCCTTGGCCGTGCTGGTGCTCCCCAACAGGAGTACCTAAACCAATCGAGCCCGTAATCACCAAGCAACACGCAGTCAGTGGGATAGAAACCGACCGGTGGGTAGCCACTACTACTAAGTAAGTCATGATGGGAGAGGTATAAGTAATCCATCTCGAGTCGATTTGCTTTTAGTAACGAACCCGACAGCACAAAGACTCCTGCAACGGTGGCTGTGTTGATCATTGGACGGTTGAGGGAGCTGAAGGGGGCTTGCTTGGCTGCGACTTGTATTAAAGTTCTCACGTCCACCGCGTGCTCGATATCCTTGGGAATATTGTTGACGGTTATGCACGGCCGTGTGGTCTTGCATTGGATGGCAACGAAGGGGTGCGAAACACAACCGGCTGACCTCGGGGGCGCTGACGAACGGTCCAGTGGCCCAGTGGTCTAGTGGTCCAGTGGGATGAAATAGAGGCAAAGCACCAACCAATTTGCCAAGAGCGGCGAGAACTCACCACCCTGCTTCGTGACTCTTGTGACGGCTTCATCGGGTTTGGTGTCGTGCTTGGTATTCGACGAGAATGCCTAGTTGGTACAGCCTGTCTTCGTACAGGTGTATCTCGTGGTGCTGCTGCGCTGCTGCATGAGCAAAGGGGGGCTTAGCCGTGACCTGGAGAGATTCAATATAGGCGTCTGGTGTTTTTCCCCCGTTTGACTTTCCCCGGAAATGCAGCTGGGCATCTTGGGGCCGTCTTGGGATGGGATGGCCATGTAAGTCTGGGCTGGGCGCCTTGGTGGAATAGCCCCAAGATAGGGGGTGAAGGAACACGTCCTTGTTGCACGACGGTTCTCACTCGGGCGAGGTACGGATACGTGGGCTTTCGATCACGAGCCATGATGATACGGAGCGTCGGAGGGAATGCTGAAGACGGCAAGATTGAAACATTCAACGGAACAAGAGACAGACACGAGGCGAGTGCGGTCTACGGATACCTAGGCATGGCGAAGGCAACCCCAACTGGAGAGGCGGGGAAAAGAACAGACGATGGGGGGGGTAGTCAAGTTGAGTGAGAGTTTACCTTAAGGCACCTAGGTAGGTACCTTAGGTAGGCACCTGTCCTGCGGCCGTTCGCCAATGCTGCTAGATGGGGCGAGTGGGTGACGGTCCTCTGTGGTGCAGCTGTCGTTGCGCCTCGAATCTTATCGTCTGTGAGGTCGGCCGAAGGACACGGGCAGTGGAGAGCATGACGCTGAACCCAACCCCAGAGGTACTTCCTTTATTTGCCTAGATACACAGGAAAGGCTAGGGGAGGTAAGGTACCGCGCCGTTCCAATTGAACCCAACGACGCATCTCACGCCAAGGTACTACCTCACCTTTTAGGGACGTCCAACGTGCAGTCGGTACCAATGGGAACCTGGAAGGCGTCTCTTCTTACTGGACGAGGGCGGCCGCGGATGCTGGAGCTTGAGCCATCTGCAGTGCAGGACTTCAGTGACTTCAACCCACGGGGAGGTGGATGTTCAGCGAGTAACGGTACGTACCTCCCTTTTTCGAGCATCATGGAGCATTGGAGATCCACTCGCCCTGCAGAGGCAACCTTGGGAACCTTGCATTGGCAGCCAAGATTTCCCCCAAGCTCCCCGTCCTCCACCAGTCTGAGTCTGTCTCTGCGGTCCGCCTCTGCCTCTCTGCCTCTTGTCTCTGCCACTCTCGCCGCTGCGTGCCGTGGTACATACGTCGTTCATCCGTCAGGTCCTTCCTTGCCATCTCCTCAAATTCAAATACCTTGGGTCGCCCTGCCCCTACACTTCCGACTTGCCTTCTCAACTATCTTCCCAACACTCCTCCAACCTAACCGTGTTTCCCACCCTCTACCCACCAAACTCATCTAGACGGGCAGAATCCTTCCACTGTCGCAGAGGTAAAAACCGCCTTCGCGACCCGTCGCTTCCGCGCTTCGATACCCGTTCCAGAGCTTCCCCGATCCTCACACAGACAAAGTAGCCGAACCGTTACTCCCCAACTTTGCCCACCATGGCTCAGGTTCCGCCTCCCAAGTCGAAGCTCGACATCCTGCCCAGGATGCAGGCAAAGGGGCCCTTCTCTGTTCCCTCTCCCGGCGCAGAGGCCAAGGACGGCGAGACTCTGCCCCGCCGACTTCCCCAGGCCGTTCCCGACCTCATCACCGTCCCCGGCAGCGGCAAGATCACAACCACCTTCGAGCTCGTCAAGCAGAGCGCCGAGAAGTACGGCAACGCCAGGTGCTTGGGCTCGCGCAAGCTGGTCAACACCCACCGAGAGACGAAGAAGGTGAAGAAGATGGTTGACGGCGAGGAGCGCGAGGTCGACAAGCAATGGACCTACTTTGAGCTGAGCCCCTACGAATACATCACCTTCCACGAGTACGAGCGCCTCACTCTCCAGCTCGGCTCCGGTCTGCGCAAGATTGGCTTGACCAAGGCCGATCGTCTGCACCTCTACGCTGCCACGAGCCAACACTGGCTGGCAATGTCTCACGGCGCTGCCTCCCAGTCCATGCCCGTGGTGACCGCCTACGACACCCTTGGCGAGGAGGGACTCAAGTACTCCATGGTGGCCACCTCCGCCAAGGCCATCTTCCTCGACCCTCACCTGCTGCCTACACTCGGCAACGTTCTCCAGGAGGCAAAGGACATTCGCTACGTCATCTGGAACAACCAGCATCAGATCCAGCAGACACACCTCGAGCAGCTCAAGTCGGCCCATCCCGAGATCCAGGTCATGAGCTTCGAGGAGTTGCGCAAGCTCGGTGAGGAGAACATGGTCGACCCGGTCCCTCCCGCCACCGAGGATCTGTGCTGCATCATGTACACCTCTGGCTCAACCGGAACCCCCAAGGGTGTTCCCCTCAAGCACAAGGCTGTTGTGGCCGCTGGTACGTCTTTCCCCGGACCTGTGAGCAGACCCCCACTAACGAAATAAAGTTGCCGGTGTGAGTGCCGTTGTGCAGCCCTTCATTGGCCCCGGCGACGGCCTCCTGACCTACCTCCCGCTCGCCCACATCCTCGAGTTTGTCTTTGAGAACGCCTGCATTTACTGGGGCACAACCATGGGCTACGGTAACCCCAAGACCCTGTCCGACAACTCTGTCCGCAACTGCGCCGGTGACATTCGGGAGTTCAAGCCCTCCGTCATGGTCGGCGTCCCCGCGGTGTGGGAGACTGTCAAGAAGGGCATCATCGCCAAGGTCAACGCCGGCAGCGCCCTCGTCAAGACCCTGTTCTGGAACGCCCTGTCTGCCAAGCAGCACATGATGAGCCTTGGTGTTCCCGGCACCGGCGTGCTTGATTCCGTGGTCTTCAAGAAGCTCAAGGAGGCCACCGGTGGCCGTCTCAAGCTTTGCATGAATGGAGGTGGTCCCATTGCAAAGGAAACCCAGCAGTTCATTTCAATGGCCATTGCCCCGATGATTATCGGCTATGGTCTCACAGAAACCACGGCCATGGGCTGCCTGACGAACCCCTTGGAGTTCAGCGTCAACAACATGGGCGCCATGCCCGCGTCCATTGAGATCAAGTTGGTGGACTTCGCCGAGGCCGGCTACTACGCCACCAACAAGCCCAACCCTCAGGGTGAGGTTTGGATTCGTGGACCCTCCGTTCTGGAGGAGTACTACCAGAACCCCAAGGAGACCAAGGAGGCCATCACCGAGGATGGCTGGTTCAAGACGGGCGACATTGGCGAGTTTGACAGCCAAGGTCATTTGAAGCTGATTGACCGCAAGAAGAACCTCGTAAAGACTCTCAACGGGGAGTACATTGCGCTCGAGAAGCTCGAGTCCATCTACCGCGCTGCAGCGGTGGTTGCCAACATTTGCATCTACGCCGATGCCAACAAGGCCAAGCCCATTGCCATCATTGTGCCTGCTGAGCCGGCTCTGATCAAGCTCGCCGAGAGCATTGGTGTCCAGGGCAGCAACCTCGAGGGGCTGGTGCACGACAAGAAGCTGCAGAGCGCCGTTCTCAAGGAGTTGCAGAATGCCGGTCGCTCAGGTGGCCTCTCTGGCATTGAAATTATCGAGGGCGTCGTCATGTCCGACGAGGAGTGGACACCACAAAATGTGAGCGTCTTTTTATTCTGTATTCCCAAGCAACTACTAATCATTCATAGGACCTGGTCACGGCCGCACAGAAACTTCAGCGCAAGAAGATTCTCGAAAAGTACAAGACCGAGGTGAACAAGGCCTACGGTTCGTCTTAAGCAGGGCACTTCGTTTCCGTCACGTTTGATCATGTGGTTTGATCTTGTAATTCTCCCCTAATTTTGCGGCAACGGATTGGGTTGGCTACGGGACGCTTGATATCCAGGAGTATAGTGTGTGTGCGCGCGCGTCCAGCTTTGTAACAACGATTACCTACCTTTATCCATCAGTATCTCGGCGGGTCTTATGGGTCAAGTCAAGGATGTGTTTTTTTTAATCTAGGCCAGTTTCATTCCAAGCGGTTCGTCTACATCGTCCCTATTTGCTCAGGTGTAAAAAATTGTGCTCAGTCCTAGCCTCGAACGCGTGATTTGTTGCTTTGTGCGTTGACGTGGCGGAGAGTGGGTGGTGCCGATGCGTTGTCATCCACCTGAAGCCGGCCGGGCCGAGTCGGGGTCCCGGTCTCTGGGCCCGAGGATGCCGTGCCGACGGGAGTTTCGGGGGTTGTTTAATCGTCGCCATGACCCGACCGCAGGCTGTTCCCTTCCACTCCGTTGGCTGCAGATTCACTCACAGTCCATGACAAAAGGTAGGGGGACATATGAAGAAATCAGGTCGCAGTAAATCATTGGAATACCGTTCCTGCTAGCCCTGGATAATAAAAGTCGCACTTTGATCACTGCGCGCAGCTCGCCTTGCCCAAAAACACATATAATCATGAAAACAGACCCGAGGGCGTGTGGCGGTGGCATGAGAGTCCCCTTTATGACCCTCTCCTCCGCGCCACACTACACCAGGCCGTCGTAGAGAGACAGTGCCGATACAATGGTCTCGTCACGTTTGCTTCCCTCCTTGAACTCTTCCATGTCTAGGCTGCCGTTCTCGTCCTTGTCCATCATACGGAAGATTTTCCGTACGCGCTTCTCGGGGGTGTCTTCGTCTTCAGGGAGCTTAACCATGGAGCCGACCTGCGAGTCATCTTTGTCAGCATTTTGCGTCTCGTTTGGGAGAGGGTGCCGCAGATCGTGAACGCAACAAGAGCACCACGCGATCCCCTCGGTCCACCGTGAAAAAAAGACTCACCATCTTGTAGATTGCTTCGACGATCTTGAGCATCTCATCGTAGCTGATCTTTCCATCCCCATCAATGTCGTACAGCTGGAAAGCCCAGTCGAGTTTGTCCTCCATCTTGCCTCGGCTGGTAACACTGAGGGCGCAGATAAACTCCTTGAAGTCGATACTACCCGACTTGTCGCTGTCGAAGACGTTGAAGACATAATCTGCAAATGAACTTGGGTCACCGAAGGGGAAGAATTGCCTATATATCTTCTGGAACTCTTCTTTGGTGAGCATGCCCGAGGGGCAATCCTTGAGGAAGCCTGCCGCGGATTGTCAGTATTTAGGTTCAGTGCTGCAAAGATAAGTGTTGCGCGAAAACGCAAGACGATCAAGCATAAGACCGTGGCTGACATACCCTTGTACCATTGCTGCAACTCCTTCTTGTCGAAATGGGTGGACTTCTGCAGTTCAGCTAGCTGCTCCTGGGAGAGCTTGGACTGACTAGAGGAGAAATACTGTTAGTCTGCGAGTCTGACGATCGATCGCGGATGCTCCATGTTTCCGGAGAGGCGGATCGCCTCAACATGACGGCCCCTCGGCGGTCCATTTCTTACGCACGAGGGGACTGCAAGAAAGGGCACGTTTGGTGGGCGGGGCAGACTCACGATTTGCCCATGGCTAACTACGAGCCGCGACGACTACTTCAGATACGAGATCCCGGGGGGCAGGTTTGGCTCAGAATCGGCGGAAGAGCGTGATTGCGTGGTGGTGGGTGGCCTGCGTTTGTCGCGATGTGAGTCGTGGGACGGCGTCGGCGGCAAGAACACAGTGTCGTCGCTCGGAACGGGTGGGCCGATGCCGGCGCAGGCGAAAAGGCACTACTGGTCGCCGAGGAAAAGAAAAGGCGTTGAGTCGAACGGATCGTGGATTTTAGGCGACGGCGGAAGGGAACGGCGCGTGGTCGACAACTTCAAAGGAGGAACAAGGCTGGCGACAGATGCAGAGTTGCGCTCCAAGGGCGGGGGAGGGGAAAGAAATAAAGGGCCCAGGATGCTGTCGCCTGTCGGTGGTGGTGGTGGCCAGGCACTCTGGTGCAAGGTGCTTGCTTCTGACGCTGGCGGGGACAGGACCCGATGATTGCTCGGAAAGTTGGCGGCGGGGGGTGAGCGGCTCCCTGTACGAAAGTAAAGGCGATGGTCCCGAGCGTCCACAGAAGTACGAAGTGGCCAAGACGTAAATAAACGGGGAATCGCTCGGTGGACGGAGGACGGATTATTGACTATTGACCTAGTTGTCGGGCTGGACCGGCGGGATTATGGATACCTTTACGTGCGCTTTTTGGTTTGCCAGTTGTAAGGAAGCGAGGTTGCGAATCTTTGTTGAAATCATAAGGGGATAAGCCATGAGGAGGAAGATGCTTGGTACGATATAGAGTTGGATGAAGAATACGCGGGAGTTGTACAGAGAGGAAGGGGAAAGTCGTCGGTGGAAACTGCTGTAGCCGGGTGCGAATATGCCCAGGGAGATAAGGTAAGCAAATGTTTGAAGCTATGAGCGGGCGCCACGCACACAGGTCCAGGCACACGTAGCAGGTGGCAGGCACGGCAGGTAAGGTAGGTAGCAGCAGCGGGAGGCGAAGGACTCGGAAGGAGACGCAGCAAAGATCAACGCGGCCCTCTGCAAAGCATCCAGGCATTGTGCCATGTGTGAAAACACAGCAGGCAATTAATTGGCAGCACCTAGGTCTAAAGGCAAGGAATGGCAGTGACGGACATTGCATCCGTCCAGTGGCATGGTGGTTACAACTTACAGGAGCTCTTTGTAGGTGCGCCATCCAGTAATGTCGCAGCCAATCCAATACTTTGGTAGAGAAATGACCGGGATGCCTGTAAGCGTAAGGCAAGTGCTTCATTAACACCCGCCACCTGCCACATCTGTAAGGTGACGAGGGACTAGGATAATTGACTTTGCGTCGTTGAGTCCCTCAACTATGCTACTCGTTCTCGACTTCAGTCCTCTCTGAACGAGCCCGTACCTTTGCCAGCTCCATTTGAGATGAAGTTATGCTATGATTGAAGACGTAGGCACTGGAAATGGCCTCGGCAAGTTGGAGCAAGTACCACCTTGAGCACGGTTCATTCAGGGTGTCAAACATGAAGAAACACCCGACACCAACGAGGAATGCGCCGCGAAGCGTTGAACACCTCATGCTGCGTGGCCATGTACCATGTACTCCCTACAAACAGCCCTCAGACGATGAGTGGTCGTCAACGTCGACCTTGAGAAGCAGGGGCTTGGCGCTTCGCCCACTAAGACGTCGGCTCATGAACTCAGCCCCCAAGCCAGAATCCCAATCGGCGGGATGTCACGATTGCCACAGGGCTCACCGTCTGTCTTTCCTCGGGTTATTCGTACATGGTGTGGATGTCGACTGGGATATGTGCCCGCATGACGTTACCAAGTGTCCATCCTTGGGATTAGAAGGCACCTTCCTACGTGCCTACCTCACGAGCTGGGCCTTTCTAACCGGCGCCTAAGTACGGGGTACGCAAAACACATCTCACCCTCCTCGCTTTCTCTAAGCCTCTGAGGGCTCCCTCACGGCCTTTGCCCACATCACGATCTCAGTCTCAACCACACACCACACACCTTCAAGACGGCCTCCAGGTACCCTCACTTCGAGACCCCTCAGCCACACTTTGTCCACTAGACTGCCACGCATCTTCAGACTTGAGCAAACTCTGCAGAGCCAGCCTCACCCTGGAATTACCACCGGGGCCCTCCTCGTCCGATCATTGAGGCTCGGCCACTCGACCACCGAGAAACTCCACCGACCGCCGGACCCAATACTTCGTCCACTTCGGAGCCCATCACGCAAAAGGAAGCTCCCTTGGCGCGCCCCGGTCGTCGCACGAAGAAAACCGCCACCAGTTCTTGTGGGCAGGAATGTAGAGCCAACGCATCATCAGGAACGCGATCCACGGCACCGGAGGCCACCACGCATGAACACCTTCCTCGAACGTCGTGTCTCGGTTTGTCAAAAGAAGTGGAATTGTTGTCGTCTTTTCCAAAAAAAAAAAAAAAATACGTCAGTCAAAGAGACCCATCAAAGAGGTGACCTCGTATACTCACCTTGAGCTTGGGATCGCCCATCTTGCCGAGCAACTTCTTCATGAGCTTCTCATACCATTCATCCCAGTTGCGGTCGTACTCATTCAGTTTAAGCAGCGAGTCAATCTCATCGCTGAGATGCTCTCGCAGAACGGGCATGAACGAGTCGATGATGCCCTTGAGCTTCTCTCCGCTGTACGCCTCATCGCCCTTTTGGATCCTGTCCAAGTAGCCCATGTATGCGTGCAAGCCGTCGTGGAAAGCTTCGTGCTGCGCTACGTTGGCCTGCATCAGCCCCGGCACGCCAGCCAACTGTTCAATCTCGGGGAAGACCTCCGTCTCTTCGGTTTCGTGGTGCTCCTCCACCATCTTGCTCCATTCCATCGCATAAGACACAAAGTCCTGGACGTCATTGGGCGACTTCTCCACGTTGATGCACTGCAGGTAGACAGTGTTGATGATCCGGAGGATGAGGTTGTGAATGATGGTCATTTCCTCAGCCATCCGGCTCACCCCTGCCGTCTTGACTCCTTTCTGTTCGCATATGATGAGTTTTCGTCGAGCCTCGGTGACTTCAATGGGACTCACTTTGCTTCCGGCACGGGTACTGCTAATGAGCTCAAACGGCCCATCGGCCCAAGGCTTTTTTCCAGACATAGTTTGATATCGAATGTGAGCTTGCGAGACAGACGAGCATCGCCCAGATGAGAACCGAACGGTGAGAACCTCATTTTATATCAATACCGAGCGACCCCATCTCCGTACAACAGCGCTCTTGCTGTCCAGATCCATGGCGGAAGCGAAGCGCGTACACGTAGCGCCAGCCAAGTAATCCTTTGGCGTAGGTGCCCTCGCAAAAACGTGAGATGAAGGATTCAGAGTGCTGACGAGAGCACCCAACGCGGCAACATCTCGCCTTGCCAACCCAAACAAGAGGCGTCAACCCCAGTGCTTACACCTCAGCTCGCACCTCTCGCCCTATCAGCGCGCCTTCATTATCACGTCGCCCCGTCTGGTTGGCTCATCCTTTTCTTGATGCCTTGATGAGAGTGAATCCATGCCATGGGGCGATGGCGCTGAGGACAGTCTCAGATCACTGCTTTCATCCTGATTGGCATCGAGCAAAAGGACAAGACATTCAATAGCGTGTATGTATTTGTATATGCGTCAAGCTCCAAAGAGCGAAGACGGGGGGGGTGGATTCGTAAAGGGTCTGCCCATATAAAACGCCGCGGCCGAAAACAACCCAACACTAGACTTGCTTCCCGCCCAAACCCCTAAATGCCACAAAGCAAAAGGAATTGGTAATTAACGAAGAAAAGAAAAAGCACAATGATTCAAACGCCCATGTCTCATGAAGCTTCTTTATCCTCCCAGACCAGTTTCCCTTCGATGCCGTGCCCTCCATCATCGCCGTATGATGAGAAACAGAATGACCCCCCGCCATGCGTAAAAACACCCCAAGCACGACACCCAACCCAACCCAACGATTGCTTTTTGTTATTCCCTCTCGCGCCACACATTACCCAACAACGGCCTTCATGCTCAGACTCTCCAGGAACCCTCCCAGATCCTCCTTCTTGACCTCCACCACGCAGTGCTCGAAGCTGTCTATCCGCACCCGGGCATTCGTCTCCGCCACCACCTCCTGGAACGCCGATCCAAACCGGTTGAGACCGTAGCCCTTCTCCTTGGCGTCCTCCTCCTCCTCTTCCTCGTCATCCGAGTCGGAGCCGTCAGACGCCTCCGACTCGGTATCGAGCTCGTCAAAGTCGGCATCGTCATCCCCCGCCGCCCGACGCGCCGCCCGCTTCTCCTCGCGGATCTTTTGCTTGTTGCGCCGTGACTCTTCCCGCTGCTTGGCCTTCTCGTCTTTGGCCGCCTGCCGCTTCTTGGCGGCCTCGCGGTCGAGGAACGTGGTATCCGGGCCGCCGCCGCCGCCGGTGCCGACAACGAGGTAGACACCGCGCTTGTCGTTGAGGCTGGCGACGACGAGGGGCGTGCCGCGTCCACCGTGGGAGAGACGGCCCGTGGTATCCTTTTCCTGCTCGACAAGGGCCTCGCCGACCCAGAGAGCGAGCTTGGTGAGCGCGGCCGGGTGGCCAAAGACGGGCACGTCGGGGCCTTCCTTGACGACGCACATGCGGAATGCCCTGAGGTGCTTGATTTGTTTCTTGTTGATGAGTGACGTGCCGGTGCGGTAGATTGCGCGATGGAGGAACTGGGCGGTTGGCAATCCTGCCTTGAGAGCATCAATGCTGCTGACTGTTAGAGTGGGCTAATGCAAAGTGCGCGAGAATCACTTACTCCTCCAGAGCGTCGTATGCTTCCCAGAAACGCGCAACCCACTCCTCTCCTTGCGCAGCGACAACCTCCTCGTCATCCACATCCTCAAACTGATCTTTTGGTGCTTGCGTGAGCTCGGCAACGTCGTTGTGCTTGCCCACTTCCAACAGAGCACCAATAACAACGCCTACGTCTTGCGCGCTCAGAGTCGCCCGCCAGCCCCAGCTGCGGACAAAGCCCCAGCCGTCCTTCGCCCCAGCGCGGTCTCTCCCGTCCGTG